AAAAAAAAAAAAAGGTTCTGTGATTCGTATCATCCGTTCCAATTTTAATGGATGTTCAATAATAAATACTAATAATCAATTTCGAATTTTTGAGTTTTGAAATTATTAATCCATACCTGGCTGCAATCCTCAAGTAATTCCAGGCATTATCAGCTTTTGGATTCATCGATAATGCTCTAACATAGTAGCGGATCGATTCCCCGTACAAACCCTGCAAGAGAATTTTCATGCACAAAACCGAAAAAAAATAAAATAATAAACATAAATATTAAATAACGTTATAACCTATGTTGCCAGAGTGCTCCGGGACCACTTGCCTGGCTGGGCCAAAAAATGAATTAAAAATTAAAATTTAAAAATAAAGAAAGAAAGAAATAAAGATATTTTATTTTTATTTTTTATTTGGCAAAGAATTTTGGTCCGACCCTGAGGCAAAAGTTGTTCAGTTTATTATTCTGCACGACATAATTTTTTGTCGGATTTTTAAATCATGTTTTGTTTTTGTTTTTTGTTTTTTTTTTCTTGGTTTATTTACAGGAACCTTCCCTGGTCTTTCAAAAAAAAAAAAAACAAAAAAAAAACCTACTGAATGAATGATGGAAGTTGGAGCATCCCAACGTCTAAAAATAGCCTTTTTTTTTTTGGTCAGATTCCTTGCATAATTCATATTAATTACCATTGAATTTTTATTTCACGACTCTTTACGACCGAAATTCAGGCGAGAAATTGGAATATCAATTTATTCTACCACTCCTAAAAAAAAAAAAAAAAAAAAAAAAAGTGTCCTGCTGGCAGTGCTGTGGCCGCATGGCATATGCCCTTACCAGAAATTTGAGTATAAATATTAAATACTATAAAATTATATTCAAATTATCAGGAAAAATTTTAAAATTCTCAAAAGAAATTGAAAAAATGAAATTCTGAATTTGATAGAAATAAATCTGAAATTATGAAATAATAAAAATATACAAAAAAATACTTTTTTTTTTCTTCCTTTCCTTTTTTTTTCCCGGCAAGGACCTTGCCTGGCCTTGCACGGCCGTGCCCCCCGGGGCAACCTAGGTGACCCGGGAGGTCCAGTTCGGGGTAACCCAGATTATACATAATCCAATTCCAGACACAGCCATAGTGACCAGAATAGAATCCAGGAACCTTTCTTTTCTCTTGTTTTTCTTCTTCTTTTTTTTTTTTTTTTTTTTTTTTTTTTTTTTTTTTTTTTTTTTTTTTTTTTTTTTGCCCTCCCCTCCCCCCCCGCCCGAAACAACAACACCCCCTTCTATTCTGGGAGACTACATTCCACTTTTTCAAAGAACCAGAATGCAGACTACATTCCAATTGCCAAAACAGGCATGATGACCAGGTGCACTGATTCAAAGAATCGGAATTCGGACTACCTTCTCCAGCGGGTCGGATGACTTCACAGACGAATGACCAGGTGCAATGATTCAAAGGATCAGGACGTCATCAGCAGGGGGGGTATGTTTCGAAAACTGGAGCGGAGCAGCGGAGAGGACGCACACGCGAATCTCGCAAGAGCAGCAGGGCCACGCGGACGGTGAAGAGCATCACATACCCAAAGGCACATCCCTTTTTCTTTTCGCACCAAAGGGGGCAACTTTTTTTTTTTTTTTTTTTTTTTTTTTTTTTTTGTTAACCAAAGGCATATCCCAACCAAGAGGCATTCCGGAAATTTACGACCAGAAAAAGTGAATCTGTACTGAAATCAAATGCAGGAGCATGCCTTTGATTTCAGTACATCTTTTTTTTAAGCCCATGGCGAAGGCACTCGGGGCTTAAAAAAAAAAAAAAAAAAAAAGGCACTCGGCCACAGGCAGCCAGGGAAGGGAGTTTAGTGCCTACGAAAGTACGCTACCAGGGCAGAAGCATGGGGGTACCACTAATATATCAGCACTGCAAGTTTCCAAAGGGGGGGGGGGGAATGAAGAGATCCCGATAACGGTCCTTTCGGACATCCGTTAAAATTGGAACGATACAGAGAAGGAAGATTATTTGCATGTCCCCTGCTGCGCATTTCAAGGATGACACACATAAATCGAGAAATGGTACAAATTAGACCCAAAAAAAAACAAAAAAAAAAACAAAAAAAAAAACGATACTCAGGTTGGGTCGTACACCTGGACAAGGGCACACCAGCACCAGCAGAAAATGAAGGGCTCAACCAACTTTCGGTGATCGGGGCCGGGACCGATCAGATCGGGAACGGAAATAGGATGAAGGTCCAATGACAAGTACATCTGAGATCTGAGACCACCCTGACTGGGTAAGATATTTAAATTTTAATTTTTTTAATTTTTAAAGCCCAACTTTTTTAATTTTTTCCCTGTTTTTTTTGAAGTTTTTTTAAGTTTTTCTTTTGTAATGGACCATTTCAGACATTTACAATCAGACTCGTTTTCATTCACACTTCACATGCACGTGTGTCATCCTTGAGCAGGGGCCATGGTTATCTTCTTTGTATCGTTCTTGTGCAGGGGCACACACACCAGCGTACTACCGTCTTCACCCGAATAGAACGCCCGGTCATTATCACGGTATCTAGACTGAAAGTTGCACCAAATGCAGGTGTGATGACCGGGTGTTCTATTCGGGTGAAGACGGTAGTGTTAACTTTTAACTGATGTCCCAAAGCACAGAGATCCAATAAGAGATAAAAAGGGGCTAAACGGTTTAACGGAGCCTTTTTTTTTTTTTTTTTTTTTTTTTTTAAGTCACAACTTCTCATTAAACCCCACCAGTACTTCCTAGAGTCGTGCCCGTTAACACGCCACGATTTTAGGAAACGTACGGGCTACTACACTAGCGCCCAAATTCATCCGACTGGAAACGTTTCTACTCCCTTTTTTTTTCCGCGGCCGATAGCTGGGCCAAGTACTGGTGGTTTAAGAGAGAAATCAGAGCAGGGAAAAAAAAAAAAAAAAAGAGGACCAGCCTAGCCCCCCTGCAGCTTTCTGACAAAATCAAGTACAACACCTCCAGGAGAAAAGATCCTTTTTTTTTTTTTTTTTTTTTTTTTTTTTTTACCTCCAGGAGAAAAGATCAAAGCAAGTAGTCACGAAGGACCTGAGGGCACACTCACATGAGGCCTTTTTTTACAAAGCTCTGGACTTGATTACAGTCAGATGCATCTAGGTCTGGCCGTAATTCCACTCAGATACATGCAGGAAAGTGCTAGTGTGCCTCGAGAGGGAGATTCAGGATCAGAAAGGATCGAGAATGACGAGAGAGGTGGCTGAATTTGTCCGACACCCATGAACTGTTGAAAGCTCTGGACGTGATTACAGTCAGATGCATCTACGTCTGGCCGTAATTACAGTAAGATACATGCAGGAAAGTGCTAGTGTGAGGAGGAGGAGGAGGAGCAGAGGAAGAGAGAGAAGGAGAAGGGGAAGAGGGAGAGGAAGAAGAGGAGGAAGAAGAAGTAAGAAGAAGAGAGAAGAGGAGGAGGAGGAGGAAGAAAAAGAAGAAGAAGAAGAAGAAGAAGAAGAAGAAGAAGAAGAAGGAGGAGGAGGAGGAGGAGGAGGAGGACTGAATAAACCTAGGGCTTCAAAGATGATATCTCAAGAAGGGCATCTCCTTTTTTTTGTTTTTTCAGAAAAGAAAAAGAGAGGGAAACAGGGGGGGAGCAGAGGTCAATGCTTTGCTCATTGTAGCCGCATTTGAGGTAACTTCCAGTCTAGATACAGACCGGCATTGGTTGCTCCCTTCCAGTCAAGATACGCACCGGACGTTCTATTCCGGTGAAGATGGGAGGGAGCAACCAATGCCGTTGTCTCAGGGTCACTACAGTCTTCACCCGAATAAAGCACCTGGTCATTATAGCTGCATTCGGGTCAACTTCTGGACCAGATACAGAGCTAAAGACTGGGTGTTCTATTGGGGTGACGATGGTAGGCCATAATGGAGGGGAGCATCGAGGGAGTTTCATTGTGTGTAAGGGACGCTGGACCCGGTTTCCAGCTTTATACTGAAAAGAAAATATTTTTTTTAATTGAAAAGTTGAAATTTGAAAACAAGGAAAAAGAGCTGGTTCATGGATTGCACCTTGATCATGCATTGCACCTGTCCAGAAATCTAGTGATGGCTGGCACTGGATGCTCAGATGCAAGTCCCTACCTGGTTCGCATAGCCGATTCCCATATTCGACCAAGCTCGCACATAATTGGGCTTCAAGTCTAGCGCCTTCACAGTCACACACAGTCGCAAACAATTACACAGCAAAAATCTCTTATCAACAAGACACACGCGAGTGGGCAGACACGTGCCAGCACACACAACACAGGAGCACACATGGGGACATGCATGCGCACGCACATTTATCACGCACCAATATGCATATGCGCGTGCAAGCACATCTGTAGCACACGCACATGCACATGCACATGCACAGGCACATGCACACACACGCACATGTACACAAGCTGGCAGATGCATCGCGATTCAAGACACGTTTAATTTTCTTTTAATCATCGTTACCAGCATTCGGCCCGGGCTGGACAACACGGACCGAACGGCGGAACGTTCGCACCCCCCCCCCCCCCCCCCCCCCTTCCCCCGGGGGGTTTGGGGGTTTTTTTTTTTTTTTTTTTTTTTTTTTTGTTGTATTGAGGGAGGGGTTCTCTTCCCCTTCCTGACTTGAAAAAAAATAAAAAAAATCATTGATAGATTTATTGATTGATTGATGGATCGATTGATCGGATCGACCGACCGGATCTATCCGATCGGCCGATCAATCGATCAGTTCTCTCTCTCTCTCTCTCTTCTCTCTGTGTGTGTGTGTGTGCGTGTGTGTGTGTGCGCGCGCGCACGTGAAAGAGTGAGAGAGAGGGTGCCCGCTCGTCGCCGTCCACTCCCGCCTGTTGTCGCTCGCTGCCGCCTGTCATCGCCCGCTCCTGCCCATTGCCGCCCACTCCCACCCGCTGCCCCCCGCCCCCCAACTACTCCTGCCGCCGACCTCTCTCTCTCTCTCTCTCTCTCTCTCTCTGTCTCTGTGTTAATCAATCAAGCAATCAATCAACCTCTAGATATTGATTGATTATTGATTGATAAATTAATAACAAACGGACAAAAATACTTCAAAAAGCAAAAAAGAAAAAATGGGGGGGATTCTCTAATTATTTGAGCCCCCCTTCTTTTTTCATTTTTAGGCTTTTGAACTTTTTTTCCGTTGATAAAAAAACGGCCGAAAATTTAGAGGGAGATAGCGCATAGGCACGGAAGACTGCAAAAAAAAAATTCCAAAAAAAAAAGGGCCCCCAACCTGGGTTTGGCGGGTTCTGAACTCATGGGCCATCGCAGGCAGGCATTTGAGGCAGACCCCCCAATGNCCCCCCCCCCCCCCCCCCCAACTCCCCCCCCCGGAACGCTCCTGCGGGTAACACTGCTTTTAGTAATATTATATTATATGCACAACTACGGTACCGTGAACTAACCTGACAATGGTTTATTAATATTAAGTTTATTGCTTTATATATATATCGTGCAACATATCAATTGACTGATCAAACTCGATCGAAGCAGAACTCTTCTCCTTAGCCAGCATAAGCACACATTTACAGAACCCTCTGTGGGACACACAGAGTACACAGTAGAACGTCATAATAGACACACAGTACATACATAGTACATACGGAAGATGGTTACCGGGGGGGGGAAATATTCGCCATTTTCGCCGGCAATTTCGGTGCGAAATTCATCAAAAATTTAAAAACAAACGATACGGGCCCATAGTGCAAACATCAAAAAAAGAAACAGGCCAAAGAAAACGTAAAAAAAAATAAATAAAAAAATAAAAAATAAAAAATAAAATTATAATAATATAAAACCCTAACGCAAAAACACTGTCCGAGTTAAAACGAAGCGTCCAACGAATTCAATGAAATGCCAACTTTTTCATTACTGATGCAAACATGTCAAAACTGGACAGATGACGTACCCTGAAGCACATATATATCACACAAAAAGAAAAACAAGAAAAAATGCAAAAAATTCAGCACAATCTGACAGTTTCGGTGCAAAATTTGCCGAAGATAACACCCCTGGTTAACCACATACGGACTATGCCAGGGTATTATAGACATAGAATGTACTGCATACTGCATACTTCGCACATACATAGGACCTAGTACATACATAGCACATAGTTCACACATAGCACACAGTGCATACTGCTTACACATAGCATACATAGCGCATAGTAGAAATTTCACAGAGCACATACATAGTACAGAGTGCATACTACAGATTATCTAGTCGTCCATACATAGTACACAGTGCATAGTACAAAGTACATAGTAGTATAGTACTACATAGTGCATAGTACTGCATACTACATAAACATAGAAGTTGGTAAAACATACATAGTACAGATCGCGTACATAATGTGCATACTGCATAGTACATAGTACATAGTACATAGTACAGCATAGTGGTATGATAGTAGACACATAGTACATACAGATCGTGTACATAATGTGCATACTGCATAGTACATAGTACATAGTACAACATAGTAGTATGATAGTAGACATAGTACATAGTACATAGTACAACATAGTAGTATGATAGTAGACATAGTACATAGTACATAGTACATATTACATAGTACATAGTACATATTACATAGTACATAGTACATAGTACATAGTAGTATGATAGTAGACAGCAGTGTAGCACGCCGTATATGTACGAGGGCCTCGCATACACTGTGTACGTGTTTGAGTGTACCTGTTTGAATGTATAAGGTTGTGTATGCGGGCATGTACGAAGTGAGTACAGGGTGACAACAACAAAAAAAAAAACAGTACATATGACATAGTGCAAAGTAAACAGTGCAGGGTACATAGTACATAGTAAAGACAGTACATCCGACATGTATGCTATCCGATGCGGTCTTGGCGGTGCACTCTTTTCCTCCCGTTCTCTTTCCCAAGGGGGAGGGGGAAGGAGATGGGCACATAATGATATTTTGCCAGGCAGGGGTGAACGAGGTGAGGGCCCAATCCGATTGAACTTGCTCCTTTTTCTTACACATAAGAGTATTCACACAATGGCTTCCTTCCGCCCTGTCAGTTACACATTGGTGTGAGACTTTTAGGCTGAGCTTGGTGCTTTAAGACCACCATGCATGGCACACTCGCCTAAAAGTCTCACACCAATCCGGCCGCACATGAAGCACACATGAGATACAAAATTCAAAAGTAGTCTCGGCAATCAACACAAGTAACTGAATTGTCTTCTTCGTCACTCGCGGCTATGGCTGCCCACACACAACATGGAGGTAACTCTCTCTCTCTCTCTCTCTCTCTCTCTCTCTCTCTCTCTCTCTCTCTCTCTCTCTCTCTCTCTCTCTCACACACACACACACACACACACACAC